AAATTGCATGATTTGTCAGAGCAAGAAATATTGAGCATTTCTTGTATATCTCTGGATGTATAGGTGGTAGAGTTGAAAATACTGATGATTTCAGTAAACTTCCATCATGATCATTGCAGTTTTACTCTTGCAATATATTTTATATTGTATTGCACAGCCAGGAATGAATTAACTTCCTATACAATTTGGGTGAATTTCATTATTCAACAAAGTTATACTTCAGTACGCACCTCGGTACGAACTGTGTGAATGTATTTCCTGTAGAAAGAAGTTCGACAGAAGACTTGAAAGTATTGACAGTGAATTTGTGTCTTATTAGCTGATCTAAGGTCGTAACATTAGCATCTTCGTTTCTTATATGTATATAATTCCATTACTTACATAATTCCTTGCTATGTCCACATAATCAAATAATGTTGATGAAGTAAACTTTCAATGTCGTCTTTTTTTTTTCTAGTAATATCTAATGAAAAATCTTTCCATTTTTGAAAATAGTAGGTATCACTTTAATCAGATCCAGTAAGGGCATGTAGAGCCGGTAGTTTCTTGCAAAATTCTATTCCTATAGACCATTAGGTACTGATAGAATTAACATAAATCAAGTATATGAGAAGTTCGACTGCATGGCCATTTTTGAAATAGAAATTTGTATTTCAAATAATAGAATGATAAGAAATACAGAATGATGACAGAACATCAGTATCATCCGACTAAAGAGAATATTACTGGAAGATTCGGATTCTTCCAGTAATGTAACATAATTATCTGCAACCTCATGGATGCATTTCAGAGATACATTGTTTGTAACAGAATTATCCATATTATTATCCTACATTATTCACCCTTCCGATACCTCGATCCAGCGATGGTTTATTTCGGAATACTAAATGTCTGAATATTATCACAAATCAATATTTTCGCTAGAAATATTACCAGGTTACGTATTTTCCTGGACGCCTTTGAAAACTACTGAGATATAGGTATGGAGCAATTTCCTTTTTTCGAAAACTTTGATAATTTGTATCTCCTCGTCTTTATTGCTCTATTAGCTGGTAGAGATTCTACGATCATATACAATAATCACATAATTCGTTTGGAAATTTTTCATTTTGAGATCTTTTTTTATTATTCATAAACAGAGCTGACCTAATTCTTCTCTTCAACTCTTTCATCTCTTGAACTGATGAAAACATAGAAAGAGAAACACGTATATCAACTCATATAAAACAAATGTCTACTAGATTTCTGTTTTTTCAAACGGCTATTGAACATACCATCTGATCCTATTACTATATATGTATACTATATAGACTCACCTTCTTTATTCATTGCATTCTTCTGACAATCGGAAAATGTTCAAACTTTTTTGACGTTGCCTCCGTTCAAAAACTTCATCCACTATCATTGTTTGAGCAGCATTCAAACATGTCATAAAAGTTCTTCAATATATTTCGATATACTATATTAATTGTCCAACTGCAATGTTCATTAATTTTTTTGGAGACTCATGTTTAGAAAATTCTAACATCTCCCAATATCTTCTTGGTCTTTTTTTTATACCATTTTCACTTCGTTGCCTTTGAAGTGAATTATTTTGGGACAATATATGTAACTGAAGTTATTTACCTACATATTCAACCATAAAATGACTCGTTTCAATCCATTGTAAGAATGTTACTAGCATAAGAATCATCAAGAAAGCTCCATTCGCAAATGAGACAGTTATCCTTCCCGAATCTTTACTGTTTGTTCTTCTCTAGAACACGTAAACGCCGCTGTATCGTTCTCACTCGTGCGCTCGGACGGCCTCTTACGTATAAGACAATAAACGCTTCTACAAAGTTTATTTTTGAAACGTGCGAAAAGTTTATAGGAAACAATTTGTTGCTCACATTTCAATATATCAAAAGATATCATAAAAATCGAAATTCATATCGTGAACTGAAAAGTTATGATAAACTGAAGAGATGACATTGGAATTTTTTTCGCGAATTCTGTACAAAATGATACATTTTGGATCGAAAAATACTTCAATTTTCCAACATATCATATATGAATCGAATCTCCGGAATATGCTTAATCATTCTATGAAAAAACTGCGTATATAAGTGCTATAATTGTGAAGTTACAAAGGATTATATATTTACGCGCGAAGTTATTTTTTTCTTAAATTCTCGAGTTTGGCCGCTTATAACTTTTTTCGGTACCATAGAAAGAAGTAGTCAAGCTGGAATATTATGTAGTAATCATTTATATTCAAGGTGATGAAGGTCCCATATCTTTCTACTCCGAAAAAAAAGTCTGTAAGGAAGAGGATTTTGCCTCGTTCTCCTCTACACTATTGGGAGTCCTAACAGGGGGCCATCAGACATCAACATTCCGTAAGATCGATTCCATTCAAAACTTGACTAATGCTGGTCTGAAATATTTAAGCCATCAATTCACTGATCAATTAATTCAGATATCAACTCAATTTACCTTTTTACCTTGAGAAAGGGTTCTCTGTACATGTGTTTCCAACCTCACTTTTTGTCAATGGCTCAAAAATCCCATAAAAATGAACAGTTTCTGGAAATATATACCTCAAACGATACCTAAAAATTTTCCTACATAGAAACTCGTATTTGAGAGTGAAACCTTATCCCTCATTTAGAGTATGAATTGAAATTCAATATTATTGGCTCACAGCTATATTTCACTACTCATTGCCAAAGACTGTAATATATCGATTATGTTACAGTAACTAGTCAAAGTAAGGTGTAAGGTTAGGTATTCAGCTTACTGCAAGGTCTCTGCAAGTACTGAAACTGCCAGACACTAAAGTTATGTATAGTAATGTAACATTTCGTAATGATTCAGTAAGATTTCCGTAAATGGAAAATGTAAGGTTATTATCATAGTGACACTTAACATAAAAATGACAGTTATGTTACAGTATCTATAAATAAAATTAACAGGTAAATTACGGTAATATATGACTTCAAATTGTCCATGAAATATTGTTGATGAGTTGCATCAGTTAGTTTCATACAGGTTGGCCCACCTAGGGTTCAGTACACTGAGGAAAAACATTTGTAGCCGTTACTAAAAAATTAGTTACTACAGAAATTTTGTTTAGTACGATAGGGGACAGCAAGCATTAGTTGTTGCCATAATTAATTCTGTTTCTCTGGAAACGCCTATTTGCCTCAAATGAAAAGTTTAGTTGAGTCATCTAAGACGTTGTTGTGGTAACTAATGAGCCTTTTTAAGGAATAATACCAAGTTTTATTTGCCACAATCAAGATACATAGTTATGACAATTAGATTGTTAGTACTGTCTCAATATATGTTTGCTATCACAACAAATTATCCCAGTTGGGGCAATTACTCATTTCTTCTGACGTTAATAGTGAGTGTATTGTGGCAAATTAAATATTTGATTGTGACTGAAATGGAATCTAGGTACTATTAAAAGTGATTTAGTAACGTTTGAAATATAATTTAGTTATTCTCGCAACCTAATAGTTTTATATCAATTAAAATCAAGGCCTCATTCTAATAATAACAGTTTGTATGCCATTTTCCTTCCAATTTCCAATGGAATCGTGAACAGGAATACACCACACACCGTAAGTGCCACAGGCCACAGCTCAGCAAAAAGAGAGGGAATTATAAATATACACCGTGTACACATGACGTCGGATGGACGTTTCTCACCGTCGCCCGTCGTAAACTGAACTGAATTTGTGAATAGGTACCTAAACCTGATAACTAGTGACGCACAGATAACGATGGTAAACTGCGAATTATTATTTTGCCAACCAAATGCCAAATGGCTCAGCGCGAAGTGCAAAAAAACACAAAACAGTGATTTGAAAACACACAGAGCAGTGAACCAGCAAGAACACGACGCTCCCGGCTACACTAGACAATTATTTTATTTATTTTGTCAAAGCTCGACGACCGTGCGATCTACCCACTATTAAGATAAAAGTTCAAATGATGAAACAGAAAGACAAACAGATGCAAGATGCAATTTCTGCCGGTGGGTCCCGAAGAGACGCGAGGCGGTCCCGAACGACGCAGTACAACTAAAATTATTAGTTATGGCTAAACAATTTCTGCTATGAATAATAATAAACCTTTTACGATAAATGTGTCATCAGTTGTGGCAAATAGTCAGTTGTTGTAAGTAACCCCAGAATGAGATTTTTTAACCCCAATATGAAATTTTAATTGACTGAATAGACAACACTGTGATAATTCTGTCACAAATAGTATTTTTATTGATGACAAATAATTGGCGAAAAATAGAAAAGTCATTTGTAGGAAATAAGGATACGTTGTCATTGTTAATAAAATTCCAAATATTTTCAATTATCGGTACTAAAGAAATACCAACTAGACGTTTTAATTAACCAGTTTTTCTCAGTGTAGGTACAGGGTGACTAAAAAACCGTTATTCATTGTAATTATTTATTATGTAGGTTTTATGAACAAAATAAAAAATAAACAAAACAAAACTGCTCATTCTTAAAAATATAAAATTTGAATAAAACATATCAACAGCTGATGAATATCTGATAACTAAATGATTTCAATTTTGTTTCTTTGAATGCCTTAGTTTGGCAAATTGAAACCAGGACATGGTGGTCTTTTCAAATGTTTCTTCCGAAATATGAAAGTTTGTCCTTACAGCAGCTGCAAAATATTCACCAATGATTATAATTCTTGTAGGTGAAACAAAATCACCCAAAATGTGTTGTATTCCAAATTATATTAGTAGAGAGCTAGCAGACACAAAAATGCAACTGATTTCAACACAAGAAAAATTTCTCACACATTGCTATTCCCATGATTTTTAGATCCTTTAATCTGAAATTATCTTTGTTTCCTGTCCAGGAGCAGAACATGGCAGCATAATTTGTGAACATTTTCTCCAGGACTCTGTTAATACAGTTTTTTTCGTTGCGGCCTCCCACAAGTTGCAATATCTGAAACTAAAAAATATTTGTTACCAATATACAGTTGCTTTTATAAGTTTCTTTTTATAATCCCCATCATTATTCAGTTGGTTTTCAATTTCTTGTGAATCCTTGATACTCTTCACAGGAAGTTCTGGTAGAGAAATATTACCAATCATGTTATGGTATGTGGTATCTCACAATTGAATTCAATTCATTACATCTAATGTTTCTTGCTGTTTTAAGGCTACCTCTAAGACATGGGATATATCTAAAATGAAACTTGAGAAATGAAAATATAATTCATTAAGCTACTCAATACCTGTGGCACTTGTTAAATTAAATCTGTGGATTACTGTGCTTTCAGTTTCGTTCACAGGCAGAACATTTTCTATCTGTTCTGCATGCAACAAATTCTCATTTGTCTGGGTATCTTTCAATTGGTCATCATTACTTATACTAGAAAAAATAACTCCTGCTGAATTGATATCAACACAGCTGTTGACAGAACTGGTCTCAGTGGTATCATCATCAGTCATTGCTGGGACTGGCATCTAGAAGTTATAGAAATAAAATGAAAATGGAATTTTTTCTGTATAACATTTGAATATTGTTGACACAACATTTCTCAAAATCTTGACAAACTCTGGAATTAGGTTTGTGAAGAATTATCCTTACCAATAATACTGGGAGGAGGTGATATAGAATCATCTCGATATTTTCGATTTGGTTTTTTTCTTCTCTTTTGTATTTTATTGATATCGGAATCTGCCTCACTTTCCTGATCAGCCTTAGCCATCTTGCCTTCATGATGAAAGCCTCCTTGTATGTGGCTGAAATGATAAATCTTATGGTAAGATTAAAAAGAAAGCCTATAAGCACAAAAGAGTGTTTGTGAAACTTAATAATGAGCACAATAACAATGTGGAAAATTATCTTACTGTAGTGTCCTAAAACTTTAACGTTTTCTAATAAAGTCCAATCTTTCTCTGGATCCACTGCTCCTTTAATGAATTTCCTCTCCTTGTCTTTCTTTGATGGCCACCAACATGAATCTTTTAGGTGCTGCAGATACAAAGAGTGTACCATTATAATTGAATTCTACCACCACATAGGTAACCTAATAATAAAAAAATGTAAGTTATTGTATTACTGTTGGTCATCAAGTACATACTTTGCAGCAGATTTACTCCTACTTTGAACTACTATCCAGTAAAGTTAGGGTAGAGGAAAAAGGAATATAATATAATATGATATATACATGGAATAGAAGTCTATCCAGATCAAAATGGATAATCTTCCAAATTGAGATAATTCTTCAATACCTCATTCAATTGAGCATATTCACAAATCCAATACAGGCCCTTGAGTAAAAGAATTTTTGCGTTGTATTAGTTGTAGCATTAGGCTTTATTATTTCAAAAGAAACATTTGAAACCATCACTTTGTAGTTTTCTATTTGATATAGCAGAATTGAAAGTATACAAAAACCTAGTAAAAAGAAAAATAATAGGTGAGGAAGATATACATTGAAGGTGGGTAGGTTAGTTCTCTTTGGCTAAAGAATAGATACTTAAATAATTGAAATAATAAGATTTTTGTAATGTATACACTTGGTTAATACATTTTCAATAGGATAAGTTACATCTTCATGACTTAGTTCATCAACAACACCACAATGAAACAGTTTTGATGAACAAGGAATAGTAAAATATTTCTTCACAACTACAAATACTTCCTGAGACATGGTACACTCTAATATTCTTTCAATTTTTGGTACGAACTGTTTTTAATGATACAGTGATTGGATTCCATTCCAATGCCCAGCAAAAAATGTCTAATTTTAATATTTTTGTAAAGCTTAACCAATTTGTTGTTCAATAGAATTTAATTTTTTTTTTTATCGCTTGGAGCGCACGAAAGGGAATCCCTATGATGTTCAAAGAACATCGTGCGTTCCTTGGGAGGATAGGAACAGGAGGTAGGTATTGGAATTTTTTTTCAATGGAAATGACATTTATCAATTCAAAACCATTATTGTCATTTTGTTTTTCAGGAGAACAACATTGCCTTATTTCATATATCCTCTTCACGAACTGTTCAAGAGGTTTGTTACATGTATTTAAAATTCTTTTTATATGACTCATCATATTCTCGAATTTGAATGCTGAAAAGTTATCCAATTCATTGTATTTCAGTACATCTTCATTTATGTGAATCAGATTATGAATATTGTGACTTCCTCACATATGACAGAATATTTTTCGATAAAATATCTCAACCATATTTTAGCCATTTGATTATATTTGATACAAAGCTCAGGTGACACTAATATTCGAATTGCACAATGCAGTGTCAAAAAAGGCATGTACTGTGATGTTTTTAATCGATTTTTGAGAACTATTGGGCCTGTATAAAGTGAAAATTGCCTGAATTCTGTGGCCTTCCACCTGTCAACATCTGATGAAGTTCTTGCCCAGTTAACACAGATTGATCCCAGAGATGTAAGAGGGCATCACATTCATGCCACACATCACATCTGTGACTCGAAATGAGAGGCCTAGTGAAATCACAATGACTGCTATTTCGGACCCTTTTGGTCATTTTATGATTCACATTATGATGCCAAATGAAAATCACAGTACGTATTATGCGACTCCTCATTCAACATCAACATTGATTTATTCCGTTCGTTACATAAATAGACAAGGATGTGAGGTTTCAGTGAGTCTCTTGGTTGTTAGGGAGACTCATAAATTCACCAACATTTCAGGTCTCAAATTTGATAAAATGTGAGGAATATTGCGAATGTTTTGTGATATAAAGAGTCTCCTGGTAATACCAATGATGTTTTGTTGTGACTCGCATTGTTACCTAACGAGGCATGAATGTGACATCCCAGGGATGTTTGTGTTTACTGGGTGGTAATCTGGCAATATCATCACTACTTATATATTTTCTCATGTTTTGTAAATGTGCATTAGCTTTTTCTAAATCAGATTGATTCATTCTTTCGCTCATATTATCCTTCACCCAAAATATAATTTTGATCTGTGCGCAATCTACTATCTAAATTTGGATAACTCATTCTGTGATTGATATAAACACCTTCAGTTGTACATTTCGTACATCCGAAGGATGCATTATGACCACATAGAGACAAAATAAATGTTTTTGCTGGAATGTCACAAACAAACTTATAAATTTCAACTGCAAGTTTTTTACATTTATAAGTAATGCCAACATTGGCTATGTGCAAAAATTCGGTAATAAAACTGTCCAAGAGCTCATCAGCAGTCTCAGGTTTTCCATAACCATGGTAGACTCCTATGACAAAAGGTGAATTACAATATAAGTTGGAAATACTACCTAAAATAGGCCAGAATTGACTCTTCGAGGTCTTTGCTAAAGGAAGACCATCTACATTGATGTCAATTTCTAAAGTATTTGGTATCACTTCAGCATCAATCTTGTTAGAATTCAGCACATACAATATGCCAAAATAAAAATATTTTCCACTCTTTGTATCGATTACAAAACCTTCCTGCTTTGTCATCAGCAAAGTTCTACAATCAGATGGTAATTTTAGAAATTCAGATTCGAGGTATCCCTTTTTCAATATTTCCAATAGTTTATCGAAATTATGATGAGGAATATTTCCTTTAACAGCCCAGTTTGCTAGTTCACGAGGCAAAGTATTCCTCAATTCTGTACTGAATTCTGCAGGAGGTGACAGAAGGGTAGTAGCAATAGGAAAAGTAGGGTCTTGGTTCAGGACTGGTAAATGAAGGTTAGTAGTAATAGGGCAAATAGGGTCTTGGTTCTGAACAGGACTAGTAGTGGAAGCAAAACCACTTGAAGTTGATGGTTCAGGAGAGATGATTGGATTTTCGGTAGTAGACACATTTTCAGTAGATCTCAAGTGATTCACATTGGTCACAGCATTTGTGTTTGCTAGAATAGTGGAAAGTCTTGCTTTGTCCCGATTTTTATGATCACTTGCCGTAAATATTTTTTGTTCATTTCACTATATAGTTTTCGCTGTTTGCCATTCAATAACATCAAAAAGTAAAAGTATACCTACCTACTAGGTCAAAGATACTTAAGGCCAATTTATAAACGCCGCTGCCGTAGCTACCGTTGCCGCTGCAGTTACTGTTCGGAAATTACATACCTTAAATACGTACAACTGTTTATAAACTCCGCAGCTGACGCAGTTGCCGCTGCAGTTTCCGCCGGAGATGGCCAGCTTTCATCTCCGGCGGCTACGGCGGCGAAATTCACCTGCGGATAACCAATCACAGATGAGTTCAGTGACAACTGACATTACTGACAGAAGTGACAGATGATCGTGATTTTGTTTATCAAAAAAAAAAAAATAATTTTGTCATGGTATTATATAAAAGTCTAAAAATATTATCGAATATCTACTGAATATTGATTGCAATATGTGGAAATTCCCAATGGAGCAGATGTCTATTTTAAAAGCTGTATTTTTTATGGCATTTCAATAATATCACAAATATTTGAAACCCACAATCTATTATTTTATTATTTTTTTCCTACAAGTACAAAACCCTTCTGGAATCATTTCCACATCTTTATGATTTGAAGAACAAAAATTTCAAAAATTCTATAATGAAAGAGAATAGTTGGCAGGGAATTTCAAATGCTATGGGTGAAACAGGTTGTCACCCCCTTTCGTTGAGAGTGGAAATTAGGGTTGTAGGTACCGCTTCACTGAAATACAATCAACCAAAGGGGGCAGCAACTATTGATATTCCATCAATTTATGGTAGCTCAGTGGAGGGGGAGTGGGTTTAAAAAGATACCAAACCAGGGTTTGAACTTATTACTCAGAATATATTCAGGTATTTGCTCTCTGTAAGGTGCCACAGTCAGATAATCACAAATCATACTTAATATTATACCTATTGAGGTCTGCCTACCATTATGAATGACAATAATAGTATGATAATATAGCAAAGTTCTAAGGCCTTGATAATCTCCTAACATACAAACAAAAAAATGAAGAAGTTACAAGTTATGCATAAGTTATGTAAGGTTTGAGGTTATGTGTAAGGTCCTGAACTATGATGGTTTGTTATGAAATACAGGGTTATTATATTATAATTCAACTACCTGTATTGTCCAATGAATAATTCAATTAGATACCTTTACCTGACGGATGAAATCCATGGACTTTGGTATACCAAATCGCATGAAGGGGGCTCTCAGACTGAGGCAAAAAAGTATCACTTTAATGACAAGCTTGTTTGGGTTTCAATGCTACCATTATAAGGCTAATCATTCCGCAAAGCGTAAGTATCGTGACAATAGCTATATCTTCAAGCAATAATTCTACTATATACTATACTTTCAGGTAAATACTGCACACAAGCACAAGCATGAAGCATACTCTCAGAGATCCATTAATGTATCATGCAGGTGATTTGAATTAAAGAAAAAAATGATGTCTTATCTGTTGGTACTTCTCTGGGGAGACAGTACACTATAATCCAGTCCTCCAGTAGACTGTTCCAGATGGGGAAAACTGGGAACGGATAGCAGGGTGGAACATCCCTTGGTCCAAATATTATGGGTAGAAATCAAGTCCCAGCTACAGATGTCCAGGCCTGTATACCTGATAGTCTGATCTATACCTTGTCTAGCTAAGACCAGGACAGGAGGTGTACCAGAGGGGGTACAAGAGGAAGAAGAGGCCCTAGAAGGGTCAAGAACTCAGTTGGTCCCTACTACAACTTTTCTTGGTGAAAGGGGGTGCAGACTGAAAAAGTTACATACCTGGATGAAGGATGGCCTCGCAGTGTGGCTTCAAAGAAGCTTCCTCAAGATGAACTGATTGGATTGTCACAATTATATAAATCCACTATTAAAGTGATAATCTGTACTAATGACTCAGATTGAATAAATACTTTTTCGAATCCAACCAAATTTGAAGGCAAAAATCCGCAAAAATTGCGATTGCTAACGCTTCCACATGGACATCAGCAAAAAAAGAGAGGGCCCCCTTTTTTTCCCACCTTCTCACCGAATCTCTGGGGAATTCCTTCCTGAAACCACGATTAAGTTGGACACCCTGTCCGATGTCAACTGACACTGTTGACAAGAACCTGACAGGGAATCCGACAAGCCGACCGTTAACGAGATCAAAGACCACCCATGTCTCTCGCCAGTCGTGCGAACATTAGCAAGGCTGTCGAGGGAGTCTCCAGACTACAAAGCTTCATACCTCAACCGATTAAGTCGGGTTACCCTCAGGAATAACAATTTAGGACAGTACACAATGTACGTAGTGATGAGATCTCGAAAACGAATAATCGTTCTGTGAATCTCACCTAGCGTTCACTCAAGTTCTCTGCGACACGACCTTAATCCGTGCGTGGAGCCATAGCTGCAGCGTAGCGTAATGATCGGCACCGCCCCGACACTGAGTTCTCGTTGAATCTGTGTCATAAGACGGAAAAGACCCTACGGTGGGTTATAAGGATTTCGCAATTAATGGAAAAGGAAGAAGAAGATATTTTGAGATGACATCAAGGTTGACTGGCTGACAACAATGATATGAACGTCATATGAGCAGCAGTCAGCAGAGGTTATATTGATATTACTATCAACTTAGAGATCTTGCCCTAATCGGTAATTGTTATTGTTTGGAGCTAGAGTAAATTCATGATGAAGGCCCCATTCCACCTTGGTGCCACCACTTGGCTATAGTTCAAAGATTGAAGACTGAACTCGGCTACGTCCCTTCAGAGGTAGGCGATACCTAGTTGAATAATTTATGGAATAATACTTGTAATGCCTGAATGCTATTGACGAATATTATCGATTTTATACAATTCTATAATTGATAATGTTTTTCTATTATAGATGATAGGTTCTCATGGAGTTGGCCCAGGAAAATATAATGATCTGAACACCGAGTACCTGCCCTGACGAGGAAGTAGAACATGAATATCTTTATATTGCTTGTTATCGAGAATAAATGAATAAAGATTGAATGAGTATACTCATTTGTTTACTGTCTTTCTCTCCGCCATTCAGGTTCTCAACAAATAACCAAACAGTCTCCGAAGTAAACCGTAACAACACCCCTCCAACGTCGGAAAATGTTTTTGCTTTCCATCAGAGAAAACAAAAACATTCACGGCTTCTGAATTATGCATCGTCCGGAGGGTGCGCCTTCAAGTCTTTGATGTGCCAGACCCCAATACTTTTTCCATCGACGCCCCTCAATTCGTAAGTCCATGGTGAAAGGATCCATTGTACAATAAAAGGGCCAGTAAATTTTGGGGCCAATTTGGCGGTGAAGTGTTTTGAGGCGTCTGATATCACATAGTTTTTTTTCCAAACCTTTTGGTTGAGAACCAGCTTCTCGTCTCGTCGTCTCAGATTGTAGGCGACACTACTACGACCATAGGCCTTCTTTAGACGTTTAGAAACATCTTCAAAAACCTTCAAAAGTAGCTCCTGACGATCCTTTAGGTCTTCGCCTCTATCAAAATCTATCGGGTCACTGACCGGTTTCTGGGAACTACCAGATATTGCGACTTCCCTACCAAAATTAATAAAGTTCGGCGTCAAGCCAGTGACTTCATGTTGAGCAGATCTGAGGGCCCAAGCAACCTTCGCTAAGTACTTGTCCCAGTCCCGATGATTTTCCGAAACATACGAGCTGAGCATAGTTTTTACCACACGGTGGACGCGTTCAACGGGGTTTGACTGGGGGTGGTAGTTCGCGGTGAATATATGGTGAATATCATATTCCGCCATTTTATCCTTGAAAACCTTGCTTCTGAATTGAACTCCGTTATCCGAGAGGAGTTTATACGGAGCTCCATAGACCAGAATAACCTGCTCTTCAACTATCTTAGTGACTTTCACTGCCGTTACTGTACGAAGGGGAAAGAGAAGGACAAACTTGCTGAAGCAATCACAGACAGAAAATATATACGAGTGACCAGCTGTGGTTCTTGGAAGTGGACCAACAATATCGATGCTGACCAATTGCCAAGGCCTTGACACGGTAGACGGGAGACTAAGCATCAGCCCCGCCGGCTTTTTCTGTTCAGGTTTAGTTTGGAGACAAACCTGACAGTTCCGAATATATCGGGCGACATCATCCCGGAGCTTCGGCCAGTAGTAGGACTGTGTGATACGGCACACCGTCTTATAAACGCCTAGGTGTCCGCAGGTTGGCGAATCATGGTGCTGTCTTATGATGGGTTTCCTTTCACCTTTGGGAATGACCAGGAGCCACATCTTTTCATTGGGAAAACCTAGCTCAGGGTATTTAAAATTCGCTCTCTTATAGAGCTTTCCTCCTTCGATTCGCCATAGGGGATACTTTTCGGGAAACTGAGTCACTCGCTTCACCATATCCCCGTACCACTTATCAGTCCGAGGTGTAGGGTTGGCAGTCCCAGCGTCTTGATCCTCGACACTGTCTACCACTGGAACCGTTCTGGAAAGAGCATCCGGGACCACGTGGTCTTTTCCCTTCCTATGGACAATGTCAAAATCGTATTGCTGTAGGCGCACGGCCCATCGTGCGATCCTTCCCACCGGGTCCTTGATGCTGTACAGCCACTTTAGGCTGAAATGGTCCGTGATTACCGTGAAACGGGTACCTTCCAAATAGGGCCTCAGTTTCTCTATAGCAAAAAGGACGGCCAAGCACTCCTTTTCGGTTGTGCTGAACCTACGTTCATTCTTGGTCATGGATCGAGAGAGATAGCAAACGACCTTTTCTTCACCATCATGATTTTGAGACAAAACGGCCCCCAATCCGAAATCCGACGCATCGGTCTGAACAAAAAAGGGGAGCTCGAACTTCGGACATGATAATACAGGTGCTGATATCAAGTGAGACTTGATACTTTCCAAGGCAGACTGACAAGAAGAGTCCCAGTCGTATTTTTGATTTTTCC